AGGGACTGGCTCCACCTTCCCACCACCAAAATGATGACAGAGCTGAGTGGCCAGGGCCACCAGTGTCACACCAAGGGGACCTTCATCCCAAATTCCCAAGGGCATTCCCTCAGCCACCAACTGGGGATGGAAGCCCTGGGGCACACGGAAGGAGTAGGAGTAGGACACAGGGATACATCTCATGGGAGGTCCTGAGTGGAAAGAGATCCACCAAAATCGAGTCCAACACCTGGGACACCCCAAAATCCCATCCTGGGCACCCCTGAGCGCGTTGTCCCAACACTCCCGGAGCTCCGGCAGCCTCGGGAATGTGCCCATTCCCTAGGGAGCTGTTCCAGTGCCTGACACAAGGACACAGTTCCAGGCCTCCCAGTGGCCTTAGAGCAGCCACCAAGCCAGACAGAGGGGGTTCCCAACACCTGATTTATCAGCTGATACTTGATAAGGAGCCAGGCTGGAAGCCCACCATCCCAGCACAGCTGGATTCCCGGGGTGACCTCCCACTGGCTGCTCCCTCCAAGGGAGCAGGTGGTTCCTTCAAACCAGGCACGGAGCCCAGGAATCCCGGCTCCTGGAATGTGAGGCTCAGGGATGAGCGCACGCTGCAGCTTTGCTCCTCTACTTGGTTCTTCTTTTCAGATAAAAAGATGTAGGGCTGGAGAAAACGGGAACATCTGGTGACTGCACAGGAGAGAGGAAACCTGGGAGAAGTCAGGGATGCCCCTGGATCCCTGGAAGTGTCCCAGGCCAGGTTGGACACTGCAGCTTGGAGCACCCTGGGATAGTGGGAGGTGTCCCTGCCATGGCAGGGGTGGAATGGGATGGGATTTAAGGTCTCTTCCCACCCAAACCATTCCATGATTCTGCCACAGAGCAGGGATGGGAGGGAATTGTGTTCCCAAGGGGATCATTCTTTCATTAAGTGCCTCTATCAGAGATAATAAGAGAAAAATGAGCACATTGGAGGGAGACTTCCCATTCCCAGCTGGCCGGGGTCCAGCAGGATCCCACAATAACCACAGCTGGATCCCAACACAGGGAAAACACACAAACAAAGCACTTCCCAAGGGATGAGCAGAGTCATGGAATGGGTTGTGTTGGATGGGACCGTAAAGGGACACCTCCCACTGTCCCAGGGTGCTCCAAACCCCACGTCTAACCTTGGGCACTGCCAGGGATCCAGGGGCAGCCACAGCAAATCTGGGAATTCCAGCCCAGCTCCTCCCCACCCTCCCAGACAGGAATTCCTTGCCAAGATCCCACCTAAGCCTGACCTTGCCTGTCTTAACCCCACGGATGGGATTTGAGGAGCAGATGCTGAAACTCGAACCCACCAAGACTGCACAAAGCAAAGCAGAACAGTGCTGGGGGAGAAGAGTGGAACCTCCCTGTGCCCATCCCTCGGACACGCAGGAGCCTCAGTCCAGGTGAGTTCCCACCTGCCTTGGTCCAAACTTCCCTCAGAGCTCAGGCTGGCACTTGCAGAGGAAACTGAGCACTCAGGATTTACAACTGGCTGGACAGGAGGAGGGAGCTCTCATCACTGAGTACGTGCCCTCCCTGGAGCCCAGAGTGGAATTCCTCAACTGCTGGAGACAGATTTTCCTTGGAAGGCGGCCACGAGCGCTGATCTGGCTTCTAGGAGAGACTGGCGTGGCCAGGGATCGCAGGGACCTCAGAGACCGGCACAAATACATCCTCTTGCACCAACGTCCTCACAACAAACCCATGAAAACCAAAAATTAAAACACTTCCCGCTGTGGGGAAAACAGGGGATGATTCCACATATGGGCTTGGGAATGACCTGGGAGCACCTGGAGATCTCCAGTGGTGTTTGGGCATCCAGGGGTGTTCGGTGAAGATCCAGAGGAGATGGTTATTTCAAATTTCAGCAAGGTTATTCATGGGACTAAATTTTTTTTTTTTCAGATTTCTGAGTGTGTAAGAGCAATGTTTGAAGTGGAAGGGGAAAAGCAAATATTCCTTCCTTGTAAAACCTTAATTATTTGAGTCCCACTCCTGCAGAAGGACTTGAGATGGGAGCTGGTTTCCTTTATGACTTCATTAAGGGTATTTATGGAATTAGAATTGTCCCAGAATAGGAAATCAAGCCCCATTTTACATTTCTGCCTGCTCAAAATAGTGATTTTGATTCTCTGGGCTCAGCTCTTCCTCTTTTCCAGTCAGGGATGGAATTGCTCCTGATTTCCTCAGGCATGAGGGGAAAACCAGGATTTTGATGTACAAAACTTGAGTCTGCTGCTCTGAACAAGGACAAACTCTGATGCCTTTAAACAGTGACATCTTTCTAGGGTTTATTTCCCACTACAGGGATCTGCACCAAGGCACAAACCAAGTCACCACATTTTCCTATCACTTCATATTTCATTAATTTCAGTCATTCCCTTAATCATCCCCCATTACATTGAAAATCTTCTCGGATTTACAAATGTTCTGCAACAGCTCGGACTGAAATATGTTGGGAAGGGAAATCTCTTTAATTTCCCTACTTTGGTGAATTCTTGCCCAGTCATTTTTCCTCCCTGGGTCATTCCACTTAAATCAACGTTGTGGTGACATTCCACAGAATCATGGAATGTTTGAGTTGGAAGGGACCTTAAATCTCATCCCACTCCGTCCCCTGCCATGGACAGGGACACCTTACACTATCCCAGTCCCAATGTCCAACCTGGCCTTGGACACCTCCAGGGACCCAGCTGCTCTGGGAGGCCTTGGGCTCCATCCCTGTTCCTCCCCACCCTCACAGAGAGGAATTCCTTCCCAATATCCCACTTAATCTACTCTGCTTCAGTTTAATTTCATGGCTTAAAGAGAAAGAACGCCAAGTCCAACAATAAAAATTTCAAGACAACTTGAAGAGCAATCAAAGCCCTTCATCCATGACCTCTCCACCTCTCCCTGCTCCCAGATAGAGCTGCAGGCCAACAAGAAGTGCTGGGAGCGTTGGAGGCTGCTTGGGTGGGCTCTGGTGACACATTCCAACATGCCACCAGAGCAGCTCATCGACAGGAGCAGGGAGGGGGAACTGCCTCACCTTTCCGTGCTATGGATAAGTCAGGGATGGGTCAGCGCCTCTCCACTATCTGTACAACACCTTGATTTTCCCCTCATCCATCACCATCCACTACCCAGGAGATCCAGGACTTCCCATCCTCACCTGGCACCTGCATCTCCCCTTCCTCCTTGCATAGTCACAGAATCCTGGAAAGGTTTGGGTGGGAAGGGATCTCATCCAGTCCCACCCCCTGCCATGGGCAGGGACACATCCCACTGTCCCAGGGTCCTCCAATCCTTGTCCACCTGGCCTTGAGATTCAGAGGTGCTGCTGCTGTTAAATGCAAGAACAAAACCTGGAGCACCTCTTGGAACAAAGATGAAACCTCCATGCCCAAAGACACCCATTGGACAGAGGAGGAAGGACTGAGGAGGCTCCTGCTCCTCCTCCTCCTCCTCCTCCTCCTCCTCACCCAAGCTGGGTCCCTCTGGCTGCGTTTTGCGCTCATGAACCACACGACTGTTTCACTGTCTTGGTCTCACCGAGCCATTTCCAGGCGTTTCACTCTTCCAAGAGCCGCAGGTTGCCTCTCCAAAATCCCCATATTCACGGCCTGGTGCTTGGAAGAGGCCCAGGGCCTCCACATTTCCTCACACCCAGGAGGCCGCGGGCGCGCCGAGCGCCGCAGTCAACAAAGCACCAAGGAGCTAATGAAGATAAAAGTGTCAACACAGCCTGGTGATAGCGCACACCTCTCCCATGGAGCTGCTGGGACCGTTTTGCAAACAAATTTGGCAGTTCCTGGCGGGCCCGAGCCCGAGAAGCGGCGTCCTGATGTTATTAAAGTTAACAGAAGTGTCATGGGATGACAGATGGCTCCCCGCACATCAATTGGATTCTGAGGAGTTCTCAAACCCTGGCGGGTTGAAAGCAGCTCCAGCACGAATCAGAGGCAGGGGCAAGATCATCGATACAAGGGATTATGCAGATTTAAGAAATACCCTCGGCACCCGAAAGTTTTCAGAATGCAAACTACATCAACCCCGCAAACAAGAGGCACTGCATCATGATGGCAGCAGGGACAAAGCCAGGGGGGTTTAACAGACAAAAAAAGATTGTTTTAATAGGAGAGAAGCATCAGTCATTGAGTCTTACTTCATTCAGACTTTCTCTCCAACCCATCCATCTTCAGTGCCAAGAGATGACAGGACCACCTCACTTTTCCCCCCGGCCTAGTGTATCAATAATGCCCATTTCTCCCCAAACAAATGACTCCCCAGAATGGCCCTTTTCCCAAAATTGGCTGCCAAGCCCCACAAAGGCCTCAGTACCTGCTATGGTCAACTTGGCTCCAACAGGGCCCCCTCCAGAGGTGGCCACCGATGGGTGGAGCCTTCCCCAACCATCTTCCCCAAGAGCCACTTTGTCATTCCTGGCCGGGGAGCATCTGCGGAAGAGGGGATGGGGCGGGGGGGTGGCCGAGCGGCAGAGGGACACAGAGAGGGACACAGAGAGGGACACAGAGAGGGACACAAACGGGCACGGACACAGGGGAATGCAAATCCCTCCGCCCTTGCAAATGCCTCCATGGGCATTCTCTGGGAACAAAGGTCCTCGAGGCGGGCGGGCTCTGCATCACTGCTCTCTCTGTTCCCAGCACCTGCTCGGCACCGGCCGCGGAGTCGCCGCGGTCCCTCCGCGCCGCGCCCGCAGAAGCCAACGGCAGCACAATGGCCCCGGTGGCCAGGGTCAGGCCTGGCTTTCTTCCTCGCCCCCTTCCACCAGCCCTTTTCACCTCCACCATCTCCAGGAGCGCTCGGTAAGGAGGTGGCTTCGAGCGACGAGAGGAGGAGGAGGGGGGAAATATAGGTCTCTGGCGTAAATCACTGACGCCGTTTCCCCTCCTCTCCCTTCCCTTAAGACCTGATGGTCTTCAGTCACACATCTTAAAAGCAAAACAAAAAACAAAAACACAAAGACTTACTTGTCTCAAGTCGATGAAGGCCAACTGCAGCGTGTCCCCTTGGAACCCAGGCACTGGGCCGGATCTGGCAAACTCTGTGGGAAAGAAAAGAGGATAAAAAGCGCCTTTAACTAACCATGGACAGGGAGATTGGCAGACGGATGACAGGGAAGACAAGAGAGGCTGGGGGAGAGGAGGACCGCGCTTCTAAGGAGTCATGTCTCCCTCCCTTCAGCGTCTTTGTTCGCCCTTCAAAATTCGTGTCATCAAAACACCATTAATTCCACCGTCCTGACAGCAAGGAAACTGTACTAATTCGACCTGAAATTTATTCCCATGAGCTGCACTGGGCTTCAGAGTATTTGTTTTGTGAACGGACAAACAACTCGCCCAGAAGAAAGGGGGGGATGGGGGTGGAAAAGTTTTTCCTCTCAACACAATAAAATCTTCAGCTGTGAAACTCTTTTCAGTTCCGAAAGCTATTTATATTTTAGGGCGCTGAAGGAATTTTCTAATTTCACGCCTGTCACCAGGCTCCATGAGCATTCATCAAAAAAATATGCCCGGCTGCGTCATTAATTATCAGGCAGCAGATTATTTGCATGATCTGGTGATGGCGCCTCTTGGTCAGTCCAAACGCGGAGAACCGCGGCCGTTGGGTGGCATTTTTATTTCTGGTGGATGAAGACATCTGACAACTGAATAACGTTGGCTTCTAAAGCGAAGAGAATATTTCCAAGGCCACATTTATCTCCTTCCAGCTTAATCTGGCCAAAATTTCATACTTTGGTTGTTCATTTTTCTCCTAATCCATTCTTTAAACCAAACCTAAAACCGCTGGAGCGGCTTGAATGGATCCATGTTAGAGGACCTTGGTTCTTCCATGGCATTTAGCAGCTTTTCCTTGGGAATGCTCACGAAGCCGACGCCTGCATGCATCCCAGGGTGTCTTTTGAGGTTGGTTCTGGCCAACTTCACTTCATTTTCACCCTCTGCGGTTACAGCTTCATCTCCGCTCTCCTCACAACCTCTCGGCACTGAGGGGACCTGGGCTGTGAGGCCACAGCTCAACGCCACCAAAGGCTTGAGGGGGAGCACCTGCCTGGGCTTGAGTTGCGTGGCTCCTGCAGGCACTGGAGGTGCTGGAGGAATGAAATGTTTTCTTGGGATGAAGCCAGGTGTGATGGGAAAAGGGGAGAAAGGAGGGAAAATATACACCAAATACAGATTTTTCAGTTACATGGCCCATTATCGCCCATCTATCCCGGTTTTCACCCTACAGGAACCCTCCAACAGCTCCTAAAGCACCACAAAGATGAGGATTAGGGATGGCTGGGCAATACGGAAGGAGGATTTTGCCTTTTGTCTCCCTGACTAATCAGAGGCACCAATGGACAAAATGATTTCGTGTCAGGTGGTCTTTGCCTTGAACACTTGTCCTCCCAAAAGTTTTCCTATTCCCAAGCCAAGGCCACAAAATCAGGAACATAAATCATCACACCCCCGTTTCCAAAGCTTTCCTCGAGCAGCCCAATCACGGAGCAGCCCCTTGGCTCTAACAAGAAGAGATTAATGAGTGAAACACCAGGACTCAGTCCTGTCCCTCAACCGCCTCATTTCGGGGAAGCAAAGCAGGGTTATTAATCAGCTCCCTTGCTCCACCTTCCATTAAAACCTTGGGATGGAGAACATCCTTCAAGCCAGACACAGGCACCTCCAGGGGCACGGGGGAGACTTCTCAGACTCTGCTTTTTAATAGTCTCAGATGCCAGAAGAGCTTTGAGATTGAAACCATCGCTCATCTTTGCAGCGATCGCTCAAGTGACAACCGCTGCAGGACAAGAGCAAACACGGCTGGGAAATCATTGCTTTCATCTGAAGTTATGAGTCAAAAGGAGCAATGAGCAAATAAAAACAGAAATTATGGACGTGACTGTCCATATTTAGATTTTGGATAGAAAAAGCACAAACCAAAGTCAGCGGGAACCATCCATGGTCGTGCCTTTGGAGTTTTGCACAGGATGGGACCGGACAGGGATGAAGAGGAGGAAGTTCTTCCCCTTCCCTGGGAGGGTGGGCAGGCCCTGGCACAGGGTGCCCAGAGAAGCTGTGGCTTTCTGGAGCTCTGGAGAAGCTCACAGGTGGGAAAAAGTGAGAAATGTGAGGAAGGAATCGAGGCAATGCCTGGATCCCTGGAAAAGTCCCAGGCTAGGTCGGACATGGGGACTTGGAGCATCCTGAGACAGTGGAAGGTGTCCCTGCCCATGGCAGAACATGGGCAACAAATGGGAACTGGATGATGTCGAAGGTCTCTCCATCCCAAACCACCCCATGATTCCTTGAGATCAGAGCTGCTCAGCTCCAGCCGATTCCACTGACCAATCCTGCAATATTCCGGGTGCAAAGAGCCCAGAGGGACTTCACACGTGTCCCTCAAAAACTGTTTTAATTAATCCTAACTGCAAAGGCATTTTAATGTAGGTTTGCTATAAAATTTGACTGCAGCTTGCCCGAGCCAGCAGGGAGGGAGGATCAACACAAACCCTCTGACTCTGATCTGCAAGGGATAAATCATCTTTACACATTCCCTCTACGCCCCACTGTCCCATCTGGAACAATTATCCCGAAAGCCACATCAATCCTAAAACCCTTCGGAAAAGCACAATACCTGAGAAACTAAAAATGTTTAGAAGTGAGAAATGGGGCTTGAGCACCTTCTCAAGAGGTGAAACGCCTCTGGATGGCTCAGGGTTGGAGATGTCCCCAGGCTGAGGAACCCAACCACGATGTCCTACCCTCCAAGGGTGGGGTCACCTCATGTTCCTGATTACGCTTGGAGAAATCCTGGAAAAGAAAGCCTGGAAGGACTGCGAGGAAAGCGAGTTTCTATTTTGGATCAAGGGCCTCACAGCTGTTCAGCATCTATTTAGCAGCACACACGGAGTTGGGAAATTTAAGATCTTCCCCAAAGCATGAACTTCAAAACCCTCATGAGAAAATGCCTGTGATTGTGAATGTTCTCACAAGGCTGGTGGATTTATCACCGCTGTCGGCTGCTTGTGAGAAACCCAAGACAGATTCCATTCCAAGACAGATTTCATCCCAAGACAGATTTCATCCCAAGGCGAATTTCATCCCAAAACAGATTTTATCCCAAGACAGACTTCATCCCAAAAGAGATTTCATCTCAAGACAGATTTCATCCCAGGAGAGATTTCATCCCAGGACACGGCTGCTCCTCAGCAGCTCACCTTTTGCTGTCTCTGTCCACTGTCCCTTCCCACAGTTCCCTGCCCATGGAAAGGTCGGAACTGGATGGATTTCAAGGTGTTTTCCATCCTGAATTAGATGGCTTTTAAGGTCTTTTCCATCCCGAACTGGATGGCTTTTAAGGTATTTTCCACCTTAAACTGGATGGCTTTTAAGGACTTTTCCATCCCAAACCAATCAGTGATTCCTAAGGAACCTACTGGAGGAAGGCTGGGAGAGTTATGGAATGACACTGCCCTTCGAAATTTAGCATGTTGCACATGGAGCCAACACTGATTTAAGCTGTAATTTTCACCAAAATACTGAATGAACAATGCTCTGGAACCTTCTAAAGAAAGGTGTCCATACCCACGGCTGGAATGAGATAGTCTTGAAGGCTCCTTCCATCCTAAGCCAATCTGTGACTCCAAAGGAAGCTACTGGATCAAGCTGGGAGAGTTATGGAGTGACACTTCAATACTTAGGATGGTCATACACTGAGCCAACACTTAACAGCAATTCACATCAAAAGATTAATCAACACTGAATTAACAAAGCTCTGGAACCTTCTAGTGCAAGGTGTCCCTGCCCATGGCTGGAACGAGATGCTCCTTAAGTCCTTTCCAACCCAAATCCTACAGTTCTGGGATTCTGTGGTTGACATCCAAGCTGATATTCTCTGTGTCCCAGAAGAAATTATATAGGAGCTGATATTCTTTGTGTCCCAGAAGAAATAATGTAGGAGCTGATATTCTCTGTGTCCAAGAAGAAATTATATAGGAGCTGATCTTTTTGTGTTCCAAAAGAAATAATGTAGGAGCTGATATTCTCTGTGTCCAAGAAGAAATGATCTAAGAGCTGATATTTTTCATATCCCAGAAGAAACGAGAACAGGAATTCGGCCCAGACACTCGGAAAAGCTGCAGAGGAATGAATGCAATGCTTCCCCTGGGCTGCCGGAGAAGGAGCTGCACCTCCTGTAATCGCAGGTCACACTTTACATACCAATGCCACCAACCCATTCTGAAGGAGGAATGAACAAAGTCTCGGAGCAAAAAAGGAGAAACAAAGAGGAGAGCGGAGCTTTAGAGGAGAGACACAGCCAGTTCTTCTTGGGTTTAATCTCTTCAAGCAGATTTCAGGACAATTTCCTCGGAACAACCGAGCGCAGTGTTGGCCTCAGTACTGTCGGATTCCTTTATTGTACTGTCTTCACGACCAAGGCAAGTGGCAAACATAGCAAGCAACCTACAGAGCAGCCCCTTGAGCAGAAAATCACCGGAGAATAGAGCAGATCAGTATGCGGCTGTTTGTACAAAGCATTTAGCCAGGCTAAAGGTTTGAGGGGTTTGTGTTCAGGCCAAAAAAGTAATGTCTTTGCAAGGTCTACAGGCTTGGGCCACCCAGGGCAGGTCACAGGGGGACTCCAACCTCTCTTCCAAAACATTTCACTGATGAAAGAATCAAGGAACAGGAACCGTTAAGCCCTTTACAATGGACAAAGAATAAAGAGTTCAAAGGCACGGCAGAAAAGAGACATCCACTGTAAATTAATTAATTACAGCCAACGGGGGGATCTCCCTGTGCCCCCAGCGCGGCTGCGCACGCGGGGACAGGGCCTTGCATGGATTGAGCGGTAAAAATCCCTCAAAACCATCATTTGAGGGCAAGATTTCCTCTGAACTATGTGGGATTTGTGATGGCACCTCCAGGATGGAGGCTGAAGCAGGTCCCAGGGAAGGGAACATGGACCAATCTGCTCGTGGCCACAGATAACATCTGGGTAATCAACCATCTCAGGATTCATCAAAGAAGGATGGAGACCTTGAAGACATCTTCCTTGGAT